ATGTCTTTATAATTTGTCTCATTAAGGTGTTTTTAAAACATTCATGATTTATACCAACTAATGTAGAGATCTCAAAAGCAAAATCTGACATACAGGCATTCCATTTACATTTATAATCTAGACTTTCTTGCAACACAAAATCTTTTCCTTAGTGGTATGTTCTTACTTTTACGCACTTTTTTGTTAAGTGCTCATGGACCAAAGGAGAGAAAGGAGAAACAAACCCCCAAAAGGCAGGCTAGATCAAAGCGGGGTATCTTCAGCCCTGCTCATCACCACCTAGGCCAAGGAGTCATGTTTGTCTGTGACCTCTCTGTTGTCTGCTGCCTTTCATAGCGTATATCCTCAGTACGCGCAATATTATTACAACCCCGACTTCCCAAGTAATGTTAACCATCTTTTCTCCTCTGCTGCCCAAGGGCATGGGAGCGGTATTTTTCAACAAAGGAGAGAACTGTATTGCAGCTGGGCGCTTGTTTGTGGAAGAATCCATCCACGATGAATTTGTGACAAGAGTGGTAAGGCGCCTTTAAGTTGGCTCCATGAGTCGGACAGAAATTGCTTAAACTCAAACAGTATTTCTGAGACTTAGTGACTTTTTAGGTGTGACAATAGTACTATGCTTATATAGTTTTAAAAAACAATTCAGTCCTTATCTTTTCGAGCCACTTTGTGACATATTTATAGGTTCAATTATATAATGTCTAGACTTTGCTTCCCTCCTGCTCCCCAGGAGGGGAGGAAGTGAGGGGTGGAATAAATTGGCCATGAATTGGTAATTGTTGAAGTTGGGTGATGGGTACATGGAGTTTTATTATATTATTTGTCTGCTTTTATATGTGTTTATAATTTTTCATAGTAAAAAGTTATATGTCTGTATAAACAAAACCCTTAGGAGCTGTTATTAGCTATACCTGGCTCTGCATTTATAGTCTATTAGAACCATGACACTTGAGGTTTTTATAAACCCCTAAATTAACTATGAGAGATACACTGTTCAATCCTTACAAATCCTCAGTTCACAGTTAACAGGACAAATACCATACCCTTCATCAAGACAGATGAAAGAGAGAGAAAGGTCAATAGATAGACAGATGCCCACTATTGATTGGTCATGACTCTGTAAATATAGACTAAAAGTCATTTATAGAACTATTAAGATGAATTCTGTGACTAAAATAAACTCTAGCCGAAACCGGTTTGGCTCAGTGGATAGAGCGTCGGCCTGCGGACTGAAAGGTCCCAGGTTCGATTCTGGTCAAGGGCATGTACCTTGGTTGCGGGCACATCCCCAGTAGGAGATGTGCAGGAGGCAGCTGATCGATGTTTCTCGCTCATCGATGTTTCTAACTCTCTATCTCTCTCCCTTCCTCTCTGTAAAAAATCAATAAAATATATTTTAAAAAATAAAAAAATAAATGAAATAAAATAAACTCTAAACTAAAGGACATTATATTATTACTAGAGGCCCAGTGCACAAAATTCCTGCACTCGGCGGCGGACGGAGGGTGGTGTCCCTCAGCCCGGCCTGTGCCCTCTCACAGTCCAGGAATCCTCAGGGGATGTCTGACTGCCAGCTTAGGCCTACTCCCCACGAAGAGCAGACCTAAGCTGGCAGTCAGACATCCTTAGCGCTGCCTCAGATGCGGGAGAGGCTCCCGCCACTGCTGCTGTGCTTGCCAGCCGTGAGCCTGGCTTCTGGCTGAGCACCGCTCCCCCTGTGGAAGCGCACTGACCACCAGGGGCAGCTTCTGCGTTGAGCGTCTGCTCCCTGGTGGTCAGTGCGCATCATAGCGACCAGTCATTCCACCATCGGGCCGAAACTGGCTCTCCGACATCCCCCGAGGGGTCCCGGATTGCGAGAGAGCTCAGGCCAGGCCGAGGGACCCCACCAGTGCATGATCGGGGCAGGCGAGGGATGCAGGTGGTTGCCAGCTGAGGAGGGACTGTGGGGGGGCTCCAGGGTGTGTTCGGCCCGTCTCGTTCAGTCCTGATTGGCTGGACCCCAGCAGCAAGTTAACCTACTGGTCAGAGCATCTGCCCCCTGGTGGTCAGTGCACAACATAGCAAGTGGTTGAGCAGCCTTAGCATATCATTACTGGATGACCAGACACTTAGCATATTAGGCTTTTATTATATAGGATGATGGTAATAGTAATCATAAATCTGTTTTATATTTGAAAAACCAGCACCCAGCTTTTTTTTTTTTTCAGAGCCAATTCCCTGACCCCACCCCCAAGAGGCAAACATTCTTTCTTTATGAGAGTAGAAAACAAGGAAGTCAGATGGAGAGACACGTTGTGGGCAGTGGCTGCCTCCTAAATATCCCTGCAATGCAATGTTGTGCCTCAGGAAAATAGTTATAGTACCACGTCATTGGTTTTCACAACTATAACTTGTTGAAATTTCAAATTCTGAGACCAGAAATATTAAGGATTTACTATATCAATCCATCAACACACACGTTTTATACACATGCAATTTATATTCATTCATTCATTCATTCATTCACTCACTCATTCATTCAACAGGTATCTTTTTGAGCACTTCCTGAGAGATTATTGCCAGGTCTAAATTCAAATTCATGGACCTGTGGGGTCCCAGTTACTCCCATTCTTCCTTCTTACTAGAATTGGACTTAACATTAGAAAATGCAGAAATAGATTACAAAAATTGAGATGTACAAGAAGTAAAAATACCACGTGCGGGTGCGCACGTACAGTGTGATTGAAACTTCGTGGCCCATGCGGAGAAGTCAGTATTTTGTGGAAGAGCCACACTCAAGGGACCAAAGAGCCCGCATGTGGGCTCGCGAGCCACAGTTTTGCCGACCACTGTACCTAGTTCATGGGTCGATTCTCAACCACTGAGTCAGGCTGGCCAGCTGGCTGTAAGCACACTGTACTAATAAAAATTCCAAAACATCAGATTTACTGTTTTAATGGATTAACATTCAGGATAATTTTTTTATTGCTGATGCTATTACAGATGTCCCCCATTTCCCTCCCCCATCCTTTGCCCACTTCCACCCAGCCTCTGCTCCCCCCCACCCCCCCCCCAATCTTTATCACTCTGTTGTCTGTGTCCCTGAGTTATGCATATATGTTCTCAGGATCATTTAAAAATAGTATTTGTAGCTACGTTCTGTTAAAACTCAGTAGTTAAGAGCTTAACAAAACTATAGTATTTGGTGGTTGTGTGCCCTTGGGCAAGTCACGTAACCTCTCTAAGCCTCAGTTTCTTCAGCTGTGAGATGGAAATAATAAATACCCATTTCTAATGCTGCTTTGAAGACGAAATGACGACAAAGCTTTTAACAGCTTAGTACAACACCCGCCACGTGGTAGGAGCTCAGTCAAGGGTACCCATTATTATTATTAACAGTCCATTGTGTTTTGTGAACTGGGTGACTTACAGGTGGAAGAAATTAAAAAGATGAAGATTGGTGATCCGCTTGACAGATCTACTGATCACGGGCCCCAGAATCATAAAGCGCATCTGGAAAAGCTTCTTCAATACTGTGA